AGTTTGAGTTTTGAGTTTTATTAGTACCTAAATTTTCATTTTTTGGTCATAACATCTAAATTTGTTGATGATCTACATACTCAAATGCGCGTCAAAGTGCAAAAAGAAAAACCTTGGTCCTTGCATAGTATGTGGTAATCAAGAACATAATATAAGTCAAATCCTAATATTGAAAATATAAATATAAATTTTCAACTTGATGACCAATTGTGTCAAAAGCATCGATTAATTAATAATGATCGTAATAATAACCCTATATTTTGGACGAAATTTTATGGGGATTGAAGATATATATCAAAAGTGAAAATTTTAGGACTTATAAATGTCAGAATCGTAGAACTTATCTTTTCTCTGGACATTGGTGCAATGTTAAGAATTGCTGAATATTAATTAATATTATTCCTGGTTTAACACCTTGTTACAATAAATAATAGACAGTGATTATATTACAGGCGAAGTTTTATTATTATATTATATGGTAATTAATATACTTTTATAATGATTTTTAGTGTAAATACAAGTTTTTTCTATAGCATATAATTTATATAATTTAAATAATAATAATCAATTAAAAGATTACATGTTTGAGAATTCATTCCTTGAATTTGACAAGATAACAATAAAAAAGATTGATTATCAACAAAAATTTAGCCAAATAGATTAAATTGTTGATCAGTGGGTTGATAATAATGAGGAAAAATATCATCAGTTTGATTTTCTTCACAATAGTCCGTGCCATAATAAAAGCATCTAATATCAATGTTAGTTTCAGGTGATTCGAAATGCGCACTATCTGACCGTTGGTCCATCGTGATCTCGATGACATTTTCTTGTGAGATAGGTATTACCGCTGTAGTCGATTCATTGGTGCTAATATTATTTTCAATATTCATTATATCCGTGTTATTTCCATCATCAATTATATTTAGATTAATAATGTTATCAATATGTTGTTGATCGTCAAATAATCGATTGTGTTCTCTCGGAGACAAAAGTTCAGCGTTTACTTTTTGGGTTAAAGATGTATTAATTTGAGCATGCTGAGTATTATCCCAGGCCACTGGTTCGGGTATATTATCAGTGTCATTATTAATGGGCTCCATGAGTTTATTTATAAATTGTGTTAATGCAAAAAGATAATTCGGGATATAAATCAATGAAATGATTAGAATTTTCTTTTCAAAGGTCAAAATTAAGAGCTATTTATTTGACAGTTAAATGTCTTGATTAATCCTTTATAAGAAGTACGAGAAGACTTGACGTCATTGAGAGTTTAAATAAGGATATTATTTATAATCTCAAACAGGGAAATTTAAGTTTTCCTTGTTGCTTTCTATGCTATCTATATCATTCATTATTTGATGCTAATTGCTTATTATGGTCATATTTGATTTTTTAAATGTGTTTTCAGTAACATTATTGGACGAAAATTTTCGTTACACGAGTTGATATAGATAAATTAATTATTCATTCTTTTTTACAAAAATAAAAATTTTCAATTAAAATGACCAATAAGGAAGTTTATAACATTTGAATAAAAAACTAATTTATCTATTATTTAAGTCTTTTTATTAATTTAACTTCATATGGAACAGGAACTCTCGGAAATAGCGACTTTCCTCTGTAAAAAAACCCAAGCTTACTGTTAAATCAATTAAAAACGTGCTTGAGACCCTAATGTGACTGATTTTTTTTTTTCAAAAAAAAAATTTTTAAACGACACGAAAATCAAAGGGATCCTCGCCCTCAAGATCATTCTCAACTACAAAACAAAAGGCAAAAAAGCATTCATCCGAGGGAAATAAGTAGATGATTAAGATAATCAGAACAGGATTATATTTTATTTAATTTAACACGTATTTATCATTAATGTAAAATCAATCAATGAATAAAACTTTACTGGTTATTTAGGAACATCAATTTGTAAAAAATTATTCCTAGATTGACAAGTTTGTATGATTTGTAATTTTACAATGATAATCATAACCATATTTCTTATTATGATATTTATTAATTATTCTTATTAAATAAATATCTATATCTATAGGCTAAATTAATTGATTGATTAAATACAAACAAATCAAACCAATTTATCTTTAAAACTAAATACAGATAGATTAATTTTCAACCTCATAAAGATTTTTCTAAAAAATCCCCGAGAAGACAAAAATTCTTGTATGAGAATATCTTAAAAAACTTTTCCAGGTAAAACCTATTCATATAGAGCTTCTGCCGTATGAACAAATTTAGAAGACGCGAATTTAATAAAATTTTACTTTCCACAATTACCATTCAAACAAGTTCAAACGAGAAAAAGGACGATTTTCAAATTTCGTTTTTGCAATTTTATTGACTGATATTGAGACGGATGAGAAATATTAACATTGACAACATTATCACCACTAACATTTCTTCTTTTTTTACCTTCGTTCATCCGATTCTTTACCTGAAGATAACGAATAGTTGTCACCGGGAGAATTCAACCAATTAGTTGACTGTCAACAAAATATTTGATAATAATAATAGTATAATGAATGTGGTGCATATTTATGAATGATGGCGCTATTAATGAATTGAATATAGTGCCAACCCTTATACCGAAACAAACGTCACCGTGACTATGATGTGTCAACGGCCAAATCTCGTACATTTGAAATAATATTGGTATTAATCCCATCTTATCACATCCCAACACTTCAAGTCTATCTCAAATGGGCCAAAGCGAAGAAAATCAAATTGATGATGGCTATTCTTCTTTGTTATTATTTCTCAAAACACGATTGTGGCAGTTATTGTATATTAAAATAAAAAACTATTATGGAAGAACCCATTTTTGAATTACATAATCTCTTTAACTAATTCGTCCAATGGTAATTGCGCGTTAGAACCTGCAAACCTTAACTTTTAATAGTAAATATTAAAATTTATTATTAATAATGTGTGTAACGTAAGCTGTTAAAACATGATTGCAAGCAGCTATTGTATATTAAAATAAAATTATGGAATAGTCCATTTTTGATTTACATAATCTATCTAATTCGTTCAATGGTAATTACGCGTTAGAACCTGCAAACCTTAACTTTTTAATAGTAAATATTACAATAATCAAATAATCATACTAATGATACCTGACGAAATGTTTTTGTAGGCGGGAAATTATTTCGTCAAATCATTGTTAATTTTATCACATCTGGCAAAATGGTAAAATGTGGTAAATGTGACGAAAAGAAGAAAATGCGACGAAAAGGATATATTATAAACAATTCTAAAAAACAAAATTTTTTCTTTTAAATTTAATATTCTTTATTAAAATATCACACGATAGTCAAAGCTAATCAAAATGAATCAATTTTACTAATTTTCTGATAATAATTATGATCCAAGAGATTTAGTATAAGATATCTTTGTTGAAGATGAATTTGAAAGTGAATATAATTCAAAAAATAGTTATTTTCATGATTATTGTGAAGTTAATGAAACTGATAAAAATATTATTTAGGACAAGAATGTTATGATATTGACATTAATAATAGTAATAAAATTGATAACAATTCTGGAAATAATACAAATGAAGATGATGATAAAAATTAGAAAAAAATGCAAGCCACATCAGGAAATTTTTTAAAGGATATATATATCCATTTGATTACTATTACATATATAATATATATATATAAATTTTCATTAAGGATTTTTTATGGGTTTTGCGGATTTATTATTAATTTTTTGGTGCCACAAAAAAAAACTTTTGCTATATATAGCAGTTCAAGATATAATAACAAAGCACAACTTTGATTAGAATAATAGTTATGATAAATTGTATAATAATATTTTTAACGGCTGTGAATTGTTTGTTTGGCTAGTACTATATAGAAATTATAAAATTAGTCAAAATATATTCGCAAGATTACAAAAATCGAAATAACTCTTAAACTATATGACGCGTCTAAATAAAATGGCATGGTTTGGATTCGCATTTTGATGCTTTTTAGACGTATAGAGAGCTTTTTACAATTTTATTTGCATAAAATTTTGTATCATATATACATAACTTTCCTTTTTTTCTTTTAGCTTAAAATAAGTGATATGATTTATATTAAAATTAAAAAAAACTCTCTATAAAGACATTTCCCTATCCTTCTGATATATTTTAAAGTTAATTAGGAATCTGTACATCTGTTCTTTAGAGTTATTTTCGTTCAAAGTTTACTATTAAAACAATGCTCAAAAATCAACTTCATGACATTGAATTCTCACCTCCAAATTTCACTTAAATCTAGTACCAGGAGTCCTCCAAATGTGTCCTAGTCCAATATTTTAAATATTGTAAATATACTCATTTTCCAACTGTCCAATTCCTTCTCTAGAGAATCAATTTTGTCTTTGTTGATCGTTTAGAAGTGGTTTTGCAGCAGGAACGCGAGAAAAGAGATTCAGTTCATACAAAGTTCTTCTGACAGTCTTAATCGAAACATTACTTCGTTGAATTTGTTGACTTTCTTTATTTATTAATTAGGACGATCACTTCAAGGTTCTGAGGACGAGATACTGTGATTTTATGAATATCGTGAATTTTTGATATTTTTGAATTTAGATCATTATAAAAATCGATTATGTTGGTCTTCACTTAAGTCTGGCTTGTTCAAAATTTATTAAAATGATATTTGTTTACTAAAAACTTCAAAGCAACTTAGATGTTTATTTAAGGCGTGTATCTTTCTTTACATGTCAAAATCTTAGTGTATCTTTGGAAAAAATTTTGGACAAATTTTATTTATTATTTTTTTAGATATCACAGAAGTAGAATTTTGCACGTATAATCACGGAAACCTAATTTACAAAATGATATAATTTTTTTGTGTTTTTTACTATGCAATATTTTTGACCATGTAGTGTACATATATTTTTTCTTAATTATAAAATTGGGATTGAATGATAAAATGAATATAAGATAAATATAATAAAGGAATATAAAAGTAAATGATAATAATAGTAGGCTGTTAACAACCTGTAATGCAAATTCTTAAACGGGTTGTAATGGACAAGGTCTTAACGTGTCATAACGCTACTTTAATATTTGAAATATTAAATATTCTGATGAATATGATTACAGAACATTGTATTCTTGCATTCTTATTAATAAACAATGCATAATATCAATATTCCAACTTATGGAGAAATTATCAAAATATTATTTTAATTGCTTATTGATGAAAGATGAGGATTTATTTAGACAAAATGGCATAGAATCAATTTTTGGATTATATAATTTACAACTGAACTGGATTTTCAGGATTTCTTTATTGTAAAAATTATTAGGTTTTATCTTGGATAATTCAACAGCCATCAAATATGAATTTGATTTCAAGGATGTGACCTTATTCGTAGTGTTGAATTCGTTAAAAAAATTAGCACTTGTATAAATGATAAAGATTCACATGATAATTATGAATTTTATATTATTCATACAAATCATGATTTAGCTTTTCAATTCATTTTAAAAAAGTTCAATACACATTTAATTAACCATTTATGAATAGGAAAAGGAATAATTTAGATTCTATATTATTCCCAAAATTGCAAAATGTGAGGATTTTGTTTATTATAGAACTTCATCGCCTAAACCTTATACAATCTTCTTTTGAGACAATTTAGTAATTATACAACGTTACGCCAAAACAATATTCTATTTATAAAACTTTGGAGAATTCTTCCAACGAAAAGAAAAAAAAAATGCTTTTGCCTATAGGAAATCTTAAAAAATTATTGAATTCTCAAAATAATAAAAATAAGGATACCACATTAAAATATATCAACAAACTTTTAAATGATTTTACTAATCTTTTAAAAAATTCTGATTCTTATGACGTTGAAATTGAAATTGGACAAGATCAAGATATTAAGACGTTCAGAGCTCATTCAAACATTTTAAAAACTAGATCTTCATATTTTAACGCCGCTTTATCCAATAATTGGCTCAAGAGATCTGATAATGGCACTATTTTTTTTGAAAAGAAGAATATTGCTCCAAAAATATTTGAAATTATTTTAGAGTAAGTTGGTTAATTTTATCAAATATTAATGATTGAATAAAATCTTAAATATATATATAAATTGTTAACAAAATGAATTTATATTAAAAGATATTTTTATAATGGGCTTGTTCTGACAAATAATATTGATCCAAAGGATATCCTTGAACTTTTAGAAGCATGTGATGAGTTATGTGTACATGAATTATTTGATGATTTACAAGAATATTTAATCAAAAAACATAAAGGATGGATTAAGCAAAATATAATTAGTGCCTATAAAGCTTCATTACGACATGATCAATTTTCCGCACTTCAATGCTGTTGTGTTAAAATAATTTGTGATGATCCAAAATCATTTTTTGACTCGGATGATTTCACGACCATTGATGAATCTATGTTAATATCAATATTAGAGAGAGATGAATTGGATTTTGAAGAAATAGGTATTTGGAATAATGTTATTAAATGGGGAATTGATCAAAATCTTGAATTGGAGGAGGAGAAAGATGTTTCAGAATGGAGTAATGATGATTTTATCAATATAAAACTAGAATTGGGTGATATTCTTCCATTGATAAGATTTTGTGGAATTTCTTTATATGATTTTCATAGCCGAATTAAGCCTTATGAAAAAATTTTTGATGATGATCTGTTCAATGATATTCAACAAAAATTTGTAACAGATAATTGGAAATCTAACTCAATTGTGATTGTTCAAAATGATCCAAAACCAGAAAGTTCATTGTTAGACCTGAGATCGTTCTCACTTATTTCGAGTTGGATCGATTATAGAAAAAGAATATATGATCATAATAACATACCATATAAGTTTAATTTGATACTTCGTGGATCCAAAGATGGATATTCCAATGCAGTTTTTAATAAATTGACCAAGTATATTAAAAATACAGTGATAGTTATTAAAATTAAAGGAACAGGGGAATTGCTTGGCGGGTATAATCCAATGAGTTGGAATATACGAAATAGATCCTTGACTGATAACTATCCTATTAAAACAGATAAAAATTTTATTTTTAAAATTGGTTATAATAATATTAATAATAATTATCATCGTCATAATATAGTGTTGAGTAGATCTCAACATTCTAAATATTCATTATATCATCATGGTAAAAAAAAAATTAGCATCAAGAATAATTATCACCAAAGAGGAAATGAGCAACCTCATGAAGTCGTTTTTGATTTCTGTGATTTAAGACTACAAAATAATTTAGAAAATAAACCTTATTGCTATTATTTTTACTCATATAATTATGAAAAAGATTTGGGGTTCTGGGATGACACTATATTGGAATTATTAGATTATGAAGTATACCAGGTTGTAGGGAAAAAATAGACAATTGTAAAAAATAATAAAACATGTATTATTATTCTGTATTTTATAAATATTACAAACCGGTGACACTTTATTTGAGATTTAATCTTGAAATATCAAAATTTGAAAATATTTTTGAGCATCTTTGATGTTGAACTAACCAACCATCTTTGTCAAAAAATATTCCTTCCTTTTCTAATAATTTAAACTTTCTCTTTATATTTATATTATTAATGTTGGTGTCGTCATCGTTGTCGTCGTTGTTGTTGTTAAACCATTCACCATTAAATCCACCAATAAAAAAATTTGAAGCTATAACTCTATGACATGGTATTGGTAAAGGCGCAAAAGGATTGTTTTTTAATGCACCGCCCACTGCTCTTGGTGAAGATGAAATTGAATTTGCTATCAATTTATATGTTGATACGTATCCTTTAATCCACCCAAAATAATTTTAATAAGTAATCAATGAATTAAATTAATCAACTTTAATGGATTTTACCTTTTGGGATCTTTATATCACAACAATATTAAATATTTTAAGAAATGAAAATTAATAAACAAAAATAAAAAAAGCAAATTAATTGAAAAATGATATGTAGTTGAAAATACCTGTGAACATAAATCGTAAACTTTGAATTGGAAATTAGTTATTGGTTTATTTGTCTTGAGATTAATTGAATTGATTCGCCCATGTTCTGTTACAGGATAATAAATCTGATTCGATACTAATAATTTAGCATTGTCACCTTCTTCATTGTTATTTTCATTGTTTTCGTTCGTAGGGAAATATGGTGATGTGTTTAGTATTGACATTTTTTTAAGATTTATTTCAAAGGTGAAATGTTTCACTACATTATGCATGTGATTTAAAAAAGGAAATTTAATAATTATATGATACGATAATCAAAAGTTGTTAAAAAAAAAAAATGCAAACTTTATCAGATTTTTTATATGAATACGGTTTAGAATTAAAACCACACCTTACAAAAAACCGGGTACTCAAAGTTCTTCAACCACTTCCTAAAGGATTTACTTTAATACCATCGTTCCCACTTGCATGTTTTCCAAATAATAATGAAGTTTCAAAAATAAGATGTGATCAATGTTTAGGAATTAAACCATTAAAAACTTGTTCAAAATGTCATAAAATTTTTTATTGCAGTTCCGAGTGTCAAACAATTTCATGGAAATATCATCATAAAAAACTTTGTAGTATTTATGCAAACGTTGAGCAAGGAACAAACGTTGATGATGATAATGACGAAAAGATGGAAAAAGAAATGTTGAGAAGAGTTTCATTGATAATTTCAAATTATCTTGAAAATCTAAAAAAAAAAGACTTTAGCAAAGTGAAAACAATAGATGAAAGAACACTGATAAACAACATACTTTGTGAGACATTTTTGAGTTTGATGACACATCGTGATGAACAACCTCAAACTAAACTTGAAAATTATCGAAAGACTGCATCTAAAGTCTTTGCTGAATTGAAGTTAACCAATTTATCAGAAGATGATTTAATCAATTTTTTGTGCAAATTTTATTGCAATAATTTTTCTATTCATGATTATCAAATATTTACCTTTGGCGATGGAACGTATCCATTTTTATAAATTTAACTCCACTCAAATATATTTATAAATATATATTATTTCCTTCATCACAATCTACTTATTTCCTTTTTTCTCTAAAATAATAATAACATAGATATCCTATTGGAGCATTAATTAATCATTCTTGTCGGCCAAATTCAATTGTTATGTATGATGGTGAAGTACAACTAATCAGGACCATAGAGGATATCAGCAAAGGGGAAGAAATCACCATATCATATAATGATATTGCAATAGATAAAAAATCCAGACAAAGAATTTTGAGAGAAAAACATTTTTTTAGATGTAAATGTCTGAGATGTTCACTTGAACCTGATGATGATGATGTTGGTGATGATGAAACAAATAAATATAGGAGAAAAGTGTTGACAAAAATTGATTTAATATTGGAAGCTGGACAAATAATTGAAGAAACTGATGATAATAGGGAAATTTTAAAAAACTGGTTAATGTTACAACTTGCAAAGGATATCAATCTGGATTTGTCATCATTGTCATCATCATCAGAAGTGGCCTTTAATTCAATAATTTCATCAGCATTATCATTAATTTTACCACATATTAGAAATGATACATCTAAAGATGAATACGTGAAATCTCTTGATGAATTCTTGACTAATTTACCATTGCCAGATTCCCTGACTCATAATCCATACTCGAAATTAGCACTTTCAGTTTCAACTCAAACATTTTTTGAATTTATTGATTCACTTGAATGGAATAAAGCATCAATGATAGGAAAATTCATATTGGCTATTTATCTTTTGATTTATCCAAGATTTCACCCAGTAATTGGATTGCATTTATTTACATTGGGCAAGTGTATTTGGAATGATTCAACCAACAACAATGAGAAGGTAAAACAAACTGTTGAAATATTACAATTAGCAAAAAGAGTATTTGAAATTACTCATGGTGTAGGGGATAAAAATAAGGAAATGATTTATGAGGTGGATGAATTGCTTATAATTGCACAAAATGAATTAAAAAAAAATTAAAGTAATGTATATAAAAGAATATTATATTTTAGGTGATCTAACAAATATTTTGTTGCTAAAATCAATTAATAATAATGATAATAATCATTAGTGATGTTTATTTTTTAAAAAACAAAAATAATATATTTTAATTGCTCACAAAACTATTTGATACACAAACAACAAATCTTGGACAAAATCCAATATAGTTGATACATAATTTCTTTAAAAATTATCAGATATATAATTAAATTTCTCCACAAAAAAAAAAGGAAAGGTTGGAATTTTTACTCGACCAATTGGACGTGGCAAACTTGCTGGATTATAATTACCCCGATACGAGTGAATTCGGAGATTTGGCGTAGTTTGAAGTACACGTGATACACGAATGTGGCGTATGAGATACTATATATGAAAAAATTCGTGACTCTCTATAAGGTTTTGAAATTCATTATCAATACATATTTTCTTAGCATTATCTACTCGAAGTACGTGTGATTTGTGGAGTACACGTATGGGATGATATATGTATATGAAAAAACTTGTGACTCAACACCCCCTGTAGGACAATATTGAAATACGCGTATATACAAGATAACCCATACATATTAAAAAATTTAATACCAATGTTAACACCCCCATACTAGGTTACATGTTGCATGCAGAGTTATAATTTGCACGCACTTTGAAATATGTGAAGTGGGTACAAAAAAAAATACCATATACAATCTTACTGGATCAAAACTTGTTTTTACGTAGAGGCAAAGTCAATAATTTTAATTAATACACCACATATAATCATGAAAATGATGATGTAGATAAAAATGAACGATCGTTATTATTTTTTCCTCCATTTTCTATTTTGTTAGCTGAATAATTAATTTAATATTTATTATTTGAATAAAATAAATAACGAATTAAATAAATTATTAAAACGATTAATTAATTAATTAACAATATTGTTTTATCATTATTATATTATATGATTTTGATGATATGAGTGATAATAAGGTAGGTGCCATTATTTTACTCAACATCCACTGATCTTCCTATTAATTAAAAATAAAAAACGAAAATTAATATTTTTTTCCCGAAAATAATAATAATATTATTGAATAATAATACTTACGGCCTATTTATTATTTAAAACAAAAAAAATCATTAATCAATAGATAATAAATATATTTTCAAAAAACAATAAATATTAATTATGATGATGATGATGAATGATACTTACCCCCTATTTATTATTATTATTATTATTTAAAAGAAATAAACAAGTAAAAAACGAAAATTAGCAACCCCAAAAAATTAACAAGTATTAATTACTATAATAATAATATTGAATGATACTTACAACCACCTGTTTATTATTTAAAATCAATAATCAATAAATAATATATTTTCAAAAAAAAACAATAAATATTTAGTTATAATAATGATGAAACTTCTGGCAGAGGATATACACTTACAGCAATATATGGGTGGCATCCAACAACCTATTTATTATTTAAAACAAAAAAATCAATAATCCATAAACATTTAGTTATAATAACAATGATAAATGATATTTACATTGTGGTCTAACAGAACTATCGTCAGGATCAGGTTCAACTGGTGATGCTAAAGTAGCAGCAGCAAAAATAATCAAGAAGAGAAGGAAAATATTGAATTGCATTTTTACTTTTTGGTTAATCGTTGTTGTAGTTTTTGTTGTTGATTTTTCTTAAAGAATATTGATTTTTAACTTTTTCAAATCAACCGAGGATATGTTATTTTTATAAGAAAAAATTAGATATGATATCGACATATGATATTAATGGATCTGGTTTTCTCGACAACACGCAACGCGTAATTTTATTGTCTTTACATATATTATTAGTTGTTTGTTAAATGTCAATCGGGGAAACGTCCATGTACGGTTTTTCATAATTAATATTGATACAATGAAAAAATTTTTATAACTCATTTGTTTACACGTGAATGAATGGAATTTAATATTAATAATACACAAAAAAAAAAAGTAAAAATAAACCGTAAATGAAAAAAAAAATTTTGAATACCACATGTGGATGATCAAAAAAAAAAAATTGCGAAAATGAACTTTTGTGGGGGTCATTATTCAATAATAGAGATGTGCCATTCATAGTAACCGTGATTTTTTTTCGCTCATAGTGCGCATATCATAGGGAGGGAAATATCATAAATGCGCATATAATAATAAGAAAGTAAATGACATATTTAATTTTTTTTTAGTAATGTCTATAAAAATATATATTTAAAACCTTATTATTATGCGTAGCACATTATGCATAACACACTATGCGCGGCAAATCTCTATTCAATAATGAATTAATATAATCGACTATCAATAAAAATTAGATCAAATTATAATCCTTATTTTCAAAGAATATAGTGGCATCAAAACTCATTTTGGGTTCTTGAGCCCGAACTATCTTTTTGTTATCACGGAATCTATATATTTGGAAATGTTAGTGCACAAAAGATAAATCTTGAATAAAAAAAGCAATTAGCATAAATTCAAAATATTGATGTTTTTGCTTCAGATCTAAAAAAAAGTCAAGGAATTTCTCATAAAGAATTACTCCGCTCTATATATTATTATTATTATTATGGCTAACTGTCATACACACAAAATTCAGTTATCTGATTGATTATGTGAAGAGAGATCAAATTGAATTTCTCCCTTTACATCAATACAATTAGAAAAGACACTCAACATCTCATAACTGGATCTAAGTCAAATATATTTACATACTTTCTTCCAAAAGGAATTTATTGGCGGTAAGTATTCACACATATTTGAAAAAGAATCACAGAAGTTAAAACATAATTTCAGAATGTCTGCAAGGCAAAAAATTATTTGTAATAATTTGAGATTAGAAAATGAGAGATTGAACGTGACATGAATGTCATTAGCAGTGTTCAAAATTCAATCAGCAGAATCAGCTCATGCTAACCAAATCTGGAAATCTACTACAGATAATTTATAAAGTTAGACTAGTTTTATGTTAGGGCGCAGTCAAATTTCGACCACTAGTCACTCACTAGCATGGTAACATGGTGCATTAATGAATCATTTGCAGAAATAGCTTGATCTATCAAATTTATTAGAAATAATATGGTTTTATCAATTAAGATAAGTGTATATTTATTTTTGAAATTTCAACAATTACATAATCAATATTATCAACTTAATTTTGAAAAATGTTTTAACAGCTCTCTCTACCAATACTAAAAAATAGATTATAAATTTTTTTTGCTCCTTCTTTCTTTTTTTCAAAGCATCATTGACAATATCATTGGGGATTTGTTTTCAGATCTCATCAATCATTAACAAGAGCCAGACATCCACATTCCCCATGATTCAAATTTCTGTAATGATTGAAATATTTTTTTATAGCTACACCAAGATTGTAATAACTTCTATGTTTGTAATTTCATGTTTAGATTCGGCGTGTGAAATTAGAAAACCAAATTCACAAATTGAGTTTAAGCCCAAACAACTAAGTCAAAGCCAAGATGAAAAAAGGAATTACTTGAACATTCTGTGTGGAGGCAATTAATATCATTATAATATGACACTATAAATTTAATATCACAATCGCATTATAACTGTAGTACAAATGTTCATATAATTAAAAAAATTAAGTAAACTATAAATTATCCTCCCATGGGTCCTCCTGATTTTCTTCACCTTCAACGACCTCATTACCACCATTAACCCCATCATCATCATCATCAATTATGATTGGTTGATGAACTTTCAATTGAAACATATACTTGTAATCATTAGGTATTAATGAACGATCCTTTGATCCAAATATATATCTTTGACCAAAAGACCATCTAGTTCTCACTATGATTTATAATGAAATGAAAAATGAATGAGTTTGTTATTATAATGAATTTAGAAAAATTAAATATTTTCATATGTTATATATACATACAATTTATATAATTTATACAATATGTATACATATTTAAAAGAAACTTACAACATGTTAATCGATAATTGCTTCCATCTGCAATAAGATTTTCTCTTCTTGATATTATAAATGAAATCATTACTTTCTAAATTAATTGATAGAAACTTAGTTTTCCCATTTGTTTTTCATTGTAAACGAATTTTTTAATGTTATTATGGCATTATTAATTAATACTTTTATTTCTTCTTGTAAAGCAACATCTTCATAATATACTTCAGCGGTAATCGAATCACTGAAAAAAAAACAAAGTACATATTATTTTTTAATGACAATTTCTTTTATAAATAATAATTAATTATTAAGCAAAATTGGACATTTACTTTTCCAGAGAATTCAACGTTAATTGAACCACACTCACGCCAATAACTATAAGTCTTGTTTCATCAAGTTTAAAAGGTTTTAAACTCATTTTACCAAATAAATAAATAATAATAATAAATTATTTGTTGTGACAAAATCAAATGCTGATCTTTGTCAGGAAGGATTGCAAAAGATCAATTATACAATTTTGGGTTAAAATGTACTTATAAACAGTAAGCATTAATACAATGATTTATCCTCCTTCAAAGTTTATGACATGGGCCTAAAGATCTGTTTATTACTGTAGAAGAGTTGTCAAAAAACAACAACCATAAGTAAAAAAAAAAGTTCGCCAGTAATTTCTGTGACATTTATATTCTTAAACTTTATTATTTTGTGTTGTAGTAATAGGAGTAGCGATTCTTGTAATATTGCTTCTTCAAATCATACCTGTGATTTCATTATCTATAGAAGAAAAATACTAGGTAGAAGAGATGATTTAATGGTTTGAATAGTTTTTGATGAATTTTTTTTTATAAAGTTTACAATGGTATTAATTATTCCAAAAATTCCGAAAAATCTTTTTAATCTACAAGTTCAATGAAACCATAATAATTAACATTATTTAAATTCTTCATCACCATTTAAATTGGTCAAATTATACTCATACTTTATCAACATCCATCATTAAATGTAGATGATGTTCCTCCGTGGGATTCGCCTACAACTTTTAATTCCAGAAATATACTTAATGACGATGACGATGACAATATTGATGTTGGATAATTAAAAATATTAATATTAAAAAAGAACTCTAGAACCTGAATTATCAACGACATCTAGAGGGAGGAAGAAAATCCCTATCATCGCAAGGAAGAATCATCGTCATCGTAATCATCTTTGTCAGATGCTTTGGAAAAATAAAACTAATATCAATATTTAACTCGGATGAACTATTCTCATTATCAGAAGATTAGATAATTTTCAATACTTCAACGAGATAATTTTAGACTTGCCAGTAATTACAATATGGTTAAATTTATTGAGCTAGGATATCTCAAATACACCGAGATTAAATTTATATGATGAATATTATTACACCATTATTACATGGCCAAAAAATAATTTCAGAACATCAAGAAAAATTACATTAAATGAGTAAGATTTTTTCAAATCAGTCCACAAGAATTCATGAAATATGTTTCGCCATTTAAGTGAATCTTACCAAAAGATATTATCAAAGACAACAAATTACCGGACACATGTCAATCTCTTCTATTTATTTACCGCCAAGAATTCTTTCAACTGATATAAAATCGACTATAATAACTGGAAGACATGAACAATTATGTCAAGTCGTCGAATAATCCAACATTAAACTATTGAGATTAAATTTATTATTTAGAGCTTCCAGAGGTACTTTAACTCTGTAAAATTTACATTCAAGATGTCATGATAAAGGTTCAATAATTAATTATATTAGCAAACATAATAATTTGAATTATGTATGTATTGTAGGTGGTTATAATCCATCAAATAATGGTTTTGAAAATAAGAAATTATCATCTTCATCTTCATCTTCTTGATCATTTCATCATCATCTTCATCATCTTTTTCATTTCCATCTTCAACTTCTTCAACTTCTTCAACTTCAACTTCTTCAACTTCATATTCATCTTCATTTCCATCTTCAACTTCATCTCTGTTATTTAGAAACGAATCCTCCAAAAATAATAATAATAATAATAATAATAATAGTGATAGTAACAGTATTAATAATAATGATGATGATGATGATGATGATGATAGTTCAAAAGAAAAAGTCCGTTTAAAAACAAATGTTATCTGGAAAATAGTAGAAAATTTTTTTGAATTAGCAAAGTTATTTATAAATATATATATATATATATGTATGTATGGTATGTATGGTATGGTATGTATGGTATGGTATGTATGGTATGGTATGTATGGTATGTATGGTATGGTATGTATGGTATGTATATATGGTATGTATGTATGTTCTAAATTGATAATATTGTCTGATTTGAGGTAGGGGATTAAAACGATCTTTTAAAAGCATGTTAAAATCATATCCCAATCCCAATCCCTTATTACGAAATAAATAATTTTGTTGAGGAGAAATATAGAATTCCAATATTCTGACAATCGTAAAATGATGAATCAGTTTTACTTTTTTGTTTTCATGTGTTGAAAGAAAGAAAATCGCTGTTAGGTAAACTTTACAACCAAATAAACTAGAGCAAAAGATCTTCCATAATAAAATAACAATTTATTCTAGAAGACTTTGGCAATAAAGTCATTTTAATTTTATTATTAAAAAAAAAAGTTATTGTTCGATTTATTATTAAATTGATCGTAAAAATCTCAGTTTACTTTTTCTGTGATGTAATTCAAAACATTCATAATTTTATTTTAATAAACATATAAGCTCAATAATGTTAACGCTTCCTTCTTTGAATTCACATCCATTTATTGTTATAAATCTTGCATATCACCTTCACGATGGATACAATGAATCTAATAAAGATAACCCATTGAGCATGAAAAATGAAACAAATCAGTAAATTGTATGAAGCATTGACTCAACAAATACCAAAAAGCCAATAACAAATCGTTGGTTATACCAATTAACAACAGCAAAACAACAGCTTGGAATGTTATAAATTTAATTGAAAAATTAGAAGTCAACCACAGTACCTCAGCCAGTACCTTCTGTTCAATCAGAACTATCAATACCACCGCCAATTCCAGTGTCACAGTGGCGATATTATTATTTTAGTTATTGCTGCAAGTCTACCACCATCACTATGATGATTATGATGAATTCTGGATGTCTAATAATTATTAATGTCAATATGTAAAATCTTGGTTAAATTCACCAACTCTCCGTCAATGCATACAATCTCAAAATAAAAATCATTGCCACTTTTACCATCAAGTTCTGATAATTCTGAATATGTTGTTTAATAAATTATCGTTATGCAAGGTATTGAACATGTTTGTGTTTCAACTTATAGGATTGTAAGTTTTTTTTACACGTACACTTCTATCAATACTTGTAAATCTTAAAATAAAAACACTACCATTTCTATCACCAAGTTCTAATAAGGTTTTTAAAATGTTTGTGTTTAAGTTCATCAATCGTAAAATTCCCAAGTTGTTTTTTATACAAATCATTGTACGGCTCCATCAATAATTGTGACTTTTGAGGCATTTTCATTCTCAAATTCTGCTGATATTTTAAATAAATTATTTATATAAATCAATGATGGTTGAAATTTATGATAATTATACGTTTGGATCATAAGAAATAAATAATTTGTATATTGATTCATGAACACCCTTTATCATTACAATACTATTCCTTTTCTAAACATAAAAAAAATAAAATTAATAATTTTAATAATTAATTATATACTTATTATAACAGTCCCCTGAGGTAGGCTTTAGACTGTTTTCAAGAAATCTTGTTCAAATGGAAACCTTCTTTTCGACCCTGGCTTGATGGCGGGGAGACACACTTACTTCACCGTACGTTAACTCGAATTTTTCTACTATACTAGGATCATAAAGAAATCGGATTTCAGCCTATAAGCTCTTTCATCAGATCTCGTTGTTGTTCTTTTCTACTTTGTGATACAGTACATCACTATAACTTTACTCCTCTAAAAACAGAATACAATAAATATTGCATGTATTGAATATCTCATTTATTTTGCTTTTTAAAAAAATGATATTATTTGTTAATATTACCATTTTACCAAAATATTTTTCTCGAACCCAAATAACGATGTAATGGAATCCATATGATGCTCTAATGTTACTTCATTAAATAATAACAGTTATTGTTTCTTCTTTACATTGGTGTATCAATCGCGGTTTAATAAGACCGTAGTTAAAAATATAGCTCGCATAGCATAATAAAATTCATTTTCTAAATAATTTTTATCAATTACTTTCCATATGAAAATATAGGTTTTGCGCAATATAAATAAATATATATTTTTAATAAATAAATTAATAAAATTATCATTAATCATTACTCAAGCTATAAAAAAGCTTGAAACATTAATATTAAATTTTACATGAATATTTATCTAAACATAAGCTACATCACTAGAAATCTAATAGGTATATTTTTTCTGTACTAAATAAATTAAATAAAATTAAATAAACTATTATTATAAACCTCAATTTGCTAGTCAAATTGGTGGTTTATAAACCAAATCAATCCTCCAATTCATCAATATTTTAATCTTGGCCTTTCCATTTTACTGTTATTATTAGAATCCAACGTTTATTAATTAATTAAATGTGATAAAAAAAAGTAATAATGAATAGGAATTTTCAATTAATTAGTGATGAACGAAAAATTAATTCACCTTTGTTTAAGAGAGAGAGTTAAAATCAAGACCATTTAATGAACTCTCATTGCTTGTATAAATTTTTAAGCCTTTTGATTTAGCAATTTCATCATCTAATATTCTACTTGTATGATATGCACCTGGATGTGGTCTATATAGTTGTTGTGAACTACTACTACTAGTATTATTATTATTATTATCATTATTATTAAGAATTGCTTCATGTTTATTTACAGCAAATGGCCAAAGCTCATTAATAGTTGGTCTTTTTGATGGATCCACATCCCAACATTTCTGCATCATTTGTGCATAATCATCAGGCATTTCAGGTAATATTGGTGGACGTAAACCTTCACATATGTCAAAAATTAAATGATGATCATGAGCTCTATTGTCAAATGGTGGACGGCCTGCAAATATTTCCCACATTAACATCCCAATACTGTAAATATCTGTTTCTTTTGTGTTCTTTGTATTATTTGTGCTGCTTAGTAGCTCAGGTGCAACATATGATACAATTCCATGTATTTTATTTGATGACTTTTCATCAACTGGTCCACATAATCCCAAATCTGTAATATAACAATCACCTCCACTTATTAATATATTACCACTATGTAAATCACAATGGATTAAATCCTCTTTATGTATATCATACAATGCAACACATAACCATCTGAAAATTGCAATTCTATCTTTTAATGTCAAATTAGAATGATTTTTCTGTAAATAACCCCTTAAATTTCCTTCTGGATAATGATTTAAAACCATTGCGTAATTTCCATTATCTGGGAATTTAGTTATACCATAGCAAGGAACAATCATTGGTGATTTAATTTTGCAATAATCGATTGCCTGTAATTAAATATAAAACCAATTAATGTGTTATACAATACAGCATTATTTATTTTTATTTTAAATAAAATTACCAACCTCATCAAAAAATGCTTTTCCCGGATTTCCTGAATTATTTAAACTTTTTAATACTACTTGTTGAGCACCAAAATAACTAAATTCTTTTTCCTTTTCATTGTAATCAGTTATTTTTCCTCTTGTCCATGTAGCAGTATAAATTGAACTAAATCCACCTTCAGTTAATTTTTTTATGTCTTCAAATTGTTCAAGAGGCATCCATTCTAAAATATAGTCTGGTAGAGATGATTTCATTTGACATTGTTGAATAAAGTTATCAATTATCTCATTTCCAGATGTCCAAGTGGTGAAAAGACTCTGTAGTTGTATACTAATGCAACCTTCACAGAATCTATCAGAGTATTTTGTTGATTTACACTTGACACATTCTTTTGGTTTGCCTAATTTATGAGTTGCATTTTTTAATTCAAAATTATAAATAAATTTTTCTTTACAAAATTCTTTTTCATTTTCAGAAAGCTCCTCGTTTTCCTTGACTAATGAAAAAAAATAATCTTTTATATTATCTTTATCATTATTAGAATAATTAACTGCTGTATTAATAACCATTTCATTGTAAATTTTAAATGTGAATTCTTTTCTTTCTAGTGATAATAATTTAATATATGACATTTTTAACTTTACTCGATAATATCTATTTTGGAAAAAGATAGAAACCGAACCTTTCCTTTTTGAGACAATTTAATAATATACAATGAGAGCCAAAATTACTATTATTACTATCAGTGTGTAAAATTGAGAGGGCGCAAAGGGCGCGTGTAACATTATTAACCAATCAAATTTTGAATTTCTGGAAATAGTTTCTAAATTTATACTAGTTACACAACGAAATTTACTCACTGACTACTATGTCGTTCGTTGTAACGCAAATTTAATTATACAAGGGTTCCTTGAAACAAGGTTTGGTTGCAATGATTTGTACGAAGCTAATAATTGAAATTTAAAAAAACCTCCACGAATAAATTGAACATTTTTTCGACGATATTGATATATTATAAATAAAAAAAAAACGTATATAGAACTAGAAATTATTGATATTTTAATTTCCTCTAAACCCCCATTAATTAAGGAACTAGGTTTTTAATTTATTATCAACAATTATTGGTAAAGTAATAATACCATACCATTACTATATATTAATATACTCTATATTAATCTACAAAACTAAATCTTTCCCGTGAAATGCTCGAACTCGTAGAAATTATTATTATGAAATGAATTTTTGTTACAAATTCACAAAAATGTCAGATACGTTTCATCATAAAAAAGTAATACATGTTAATTGATTTTCAAATTTTTGGAGTAGGTGAAAAGGCCATACCAATTTTTTAAAAAGCTCTCCCAAATTCAATTGGAGTTTTTGCATTTGGTAATGCAAAAAACAATGTAATTTACGCAGAAGATGCTTTGGTTGCAAGGAGGAACTAGGTGGAAATCACAAATTTAGATGGAACAATGATAGATTGAAAAAAACAATTAATGAATTTGTCTGATGGAAGACCAAAAGGAATTGAATTAATTCTTAAATAATGAAATTATAGCCATCAACAATATTATTTCAAATTTATAATAATTGCAAAAAACACTCTCCCGTTCAAGATTTCTGTTGGACAGTTCGTATTCTTGAACTTCAATAAGATTTTTTGAATCAAAAAACCTTTAATTCAAGAAATTCTTGAAGCCCATTGTCGTTTTATCCAAATTTTACTGCGCAATCAATTTTATGAATTCTTTTGGGAGCTGCCAAAAGGTATACTCACGAAAATTATGACTATGCCTTTAAATCCTGTTTCTATTTGTAAATTTGCACGCAGGTGTTGGAGATTTTATCGATGCTTATAGACGGGGGGATGGATACAATAAAAATTGGGAAATTTTGGTCGTTGACGCAGTAAATGCTATAGCACCATATATTATGTTGTTGAAAAATACGCATATATTACATACGAGTAAGCTTACTCATATATTCATTACAAATAAATATATATTACATTATTTTTTAAAAAGTTATTCTTGATCTTTTAGATTCGTTTACAACGAAAAATTGGTATAAAATAAAAATAAAAAAAATAGGTTGGCTTGAAATTGTTGCACTTTTTTGAGTATTAGATTAGATACCTTGATTGGAGTTGAAATTGGAAGTGTAAGGAATAATTTGTTGACAACGTTCAAGATACATAGCAGGCTTTGCTATTATGTGTCTATTATTATGAAAAGGATAAATGACAGCAAGTGGCCCGGTAGAATACGTTGCCTAAATGACAATGGACTCTTAAAGCCTCCTCTTTGTTGTTGTCGATATCACCATCTTCTTCTTCACTTATAAGTCTGGATAAATAATTAGAAGGTTCATACAAAGAGAACGTGGGCAAAGCTTGGCGCTGCAAAGAAAATTATGTAAAAGATCAAGAAGCCCAAAATAAACCATCACACTTGCGACCAGCACAATCACAACCATCATTATCAAATTCTACTGGATATATATACAAATTTTTTATATTTCATTGTTTCTACATCAAACGAGTGATCCAATTAAATCCACATATTAAAAAGTCAATCAAAAGCTTATTTTTATTAATACTATTGTTAATATCATTATTGTTACAATTATCAAGAAACACTCCACCAATGAAGCTTATTATTAACAGCTATCCATACACCTTCACCTCTTTCGCCACTCTTATCATTAACATCATCCTCGTCAGAACCAGCAAAACCTGACAAATATATATTTTGGTAATAATCACAAAATCGTATAGCGTTCACTTTATCTTCAAATGGGCCAATTGGCGATCTGATAGCATTACCAGTAGATAATGAATAGAATCGAACTCGTTTATCTTGACCAGCAACGCTAACAATTGTTTCATTTGAATTTACTGCAAATCCCATTCTCATATTATTCGAATTGACATTTCCCTTGAATTCCATCACCGGAGATCGACTAGGACTTCTAGTATTGCTGTTATTTCCATTTTGATCTTTTCTGATGTCCCATAAAGAAAGCTAAAGGTAATGTAAATTAATTTACTATAGATAAATCAATGAATAAACATATGAATATAAATATAAAACATACTGAACCATCCATCCCATCAGTAATAATATACCAACTACCAATCTGTTTTAAATGACAAATTGGTGATGATTGTTTTATAACCGGACCCTCACCATAAAAAGAATTTTTTCGATAACTACTTCTAATATCAAATATTCGAAGCTGTCCATCTCTACAACCAGCATACAATATCGAAGGCCGGTTTTTATCAAAATCCACAGAGAATACATCACTGCCTGTTTTAAATTGACTTAATCGATAAATCGGCATATCTAAACCTTGAAGTACAACAACTTTTTTTGAAGTACCTATATAATAACATTAATTAATAATATATTAAGTAATGTGTGAATATGAGAATATATATCCAAAGAAATACCTAATGCGATTGATTTGTCCAATTCAGAATAAGTTGATGTCCAAATAGTAGATTTCGAATTATATATGACATTAGGTGACAATTCTGAAAATGGTTTACGATTATATTAAAAAATTATTCTTTATTTTATTTATTATCTTCTCGTCCAATTAATGACAGCTCACCAATTATTGATTCATCGTCACTTAGTGGTATTATTCCACCAACATGTAGAACTCCAGGTGATAAATCATTTCCTAAAGATGTATATCTAAAATTTATTAATTAATTATTTTTTAAATAAAAATTTCATTAAAAAAAAAATAGCTAATTACTAATTAAATTCTTTAAACTTACATCAAAAAGTTTTTATCAAATAAATTGATAGATGTTATTTCAGATGTAAGCATAGCAATATAGGTTCTAGAAAGTTCATGACATGACTCAGAAGAACATTGAAATTTTATCTGCCTAAAAAAATCACCAAAGATTTAATAATAAAGATTATTTATTATTATTAACAGTGATATATATATATCTTTACCCAACTGTCCCACCAAGATTTCCTAAATATATGGTATTTTTATATTTATGAATCTTTTTAGGAAATGAAATAAGAAAATAGGATTAGAAAAATCATATTAAATTTATTAAATCATTTTTACTTTACCTGAAAATCCGTTATATCATGATTTTGAGATGATGTTCCTTGAATTGTACTAATAGATTTTAATGAATTGACCATAGCTTCTTGACCTTTTCTACTAAAAAAAAATTTTATTGTTAATAAATGTAAAAAAATCTCAATGAAAGACAAGTCCCACTTACTAATTATACAAATTTGATTTCATTGGTTTCAATTCACGTTCCAAAAGATAGGTTATTGTATTTTGAGGTACGTGATGATGTCGTAGCCTTTTTATATCGTTTTTCTTTTTTTCCTGTTCTAGCTCTTTCTTCCTTTTTGAGATTGATTCTGAGCTATGTAGATGACTGCTACCAAAGTTGCTATTCGGAGATATTTTAAAATATTTGTCACGTTCTTCATCATAATAATATCCAGGAATTTCCCTTGGCAGCCTACTCGCAATTAGTGAAGAAGAACCTTCTGAACTTGATTTTTTCGCTTCATGTTTTTGATAATTATTGCTATTTTGATGATTGTGTGAATTGTGTGAATAATTGCGACGAGGCATTTTTTTTTTTTGAAAAAAGATTTTATTTACGTCGATCATTATTTTAAAATTTACGCGCGACGCAGTATTTGATGAATTTTTGATACTATTTTCTATTAAATAAAGAATGACTACCTCTCATAGTGACTCGCCTTCTTCTTCTCACAGTGAAGAATCTAATAATGGCAAGTAAATAAAAACAACAAACTTATATTAATTAAAATGTCCTGCTCTTTATATAAAAATATTTATATGATTTGTTTATATATTTATTTGTAGAAGATACTAAAGCAGAGCGACTTGCGTTTGAAGAAAAGGTTGTGAATGAAGAATACAAGATTTGGAAGAAAAATTCCCCGTTTCTTTATGATCTGGTTATTACTCACGCACTTGACTGGCCTACGTTGACGTGTCAATGGTTTCAAGATATTGATAGGTTGATAGTATATACACAACTATTGTACAATCATTTATAAATAATTTGTTTACAATTTATTTATTTGATTATTTTGTTTAGACCTGAAGGGAAAAACTATTCAATTCAACGAATACTGATTGGTACACATACATCAGATAATGATCAAAATTATGTACAGATTGCTCATGTACAGCTACCAAAAACTGATTCATCTATAGATGTTCAAAAATATGATGAAGAAAAAGGAGGTAATAAATTAGAAGATTATTTTTTTAATAATAGTAAATAATAATAATTTAATTTCCTTTTCCTTCTTCTCTTCGTGATAAATAATAGAGATAGGTGGATATGGTAGTGGAGCAACAGAAAGTAAACTTACAATAGTTCAAAAGATTAACCATGATGGTGAGGTCAATAGAGCACGATACATGCCACAAAATCAAGACATAATTGCTACCAAGACAGCTAAAGGAGATGTTTATATATTTGATCGAACAAAGCATCCTTCTAAACCTGTTGCAGATGGGATAGCTCATCCAGAGTTGAAATTAAAGGGACACACGAAAGAAGGGTGAGTGTGAATTATGGTCTATATATGACGCATAATATCTTATTTTATTAATTATTATTATTTTCTCGCGCATTCTTTCTTTTACTTTTAAATTGTTATAGATATGGTTTATCGTGGAATCCTTTCAAGGATGGAAATATTATTGATGGATCTGAAGATATGACAATTTGTCATTGGTTTGTACCCCCCAAAAAAGAAAATATTCATTAATAACAATTTAAAGTTTCTTATTTAACAGATTTTTGTAATTTATATAATTATATACGATATAAAATATATATAGGGATATTACTGGTTATACTGTAGATACCAAAACTATGGATCCAATTCGTGTTTACAAAGGTCACGAAGCTTACGTTGAGGTAATTAGTTAATTGGATTTATCAACCAATAAATCGCCAATTTTCATACGATATAATTATAACACATGTTAATACACGATAAATATTTAGGACGTTGCATGGCATCCAATTAATTCAAGCATATTTGCTTCTGTTGGCGATGATCAAAAACTCCTTGTGTAAGATTGATTTATTATATATTATATTTTGGTATTCCATATAATGTAATTAATTATACGTAAATGATTTTATAGCTGGGATATACGTTCAGACAAAGATGATAAACCGGCAAATTCAATTATTGCACATCAAAGTGAAGTCAACACATTGTCATTCAATCCGAAGAATGAATATATTTTAGTGACTGGTGCTAACGATAATGTACATATTAATAATAATAATAATCATTATCATTATTATTAGTCTCATAATTTCTACTTTATATATAGACGATTAATTTATGGGATCTTCGTAATCTTAAATTGAAACTTCATACACTTGAACATCATAAATCAGAAATCGTTCAAGTTGAATGGTCACCACATGATGAAACCATTTTGGCTTCTGCGTCTGGTGATAGAAGAGTTTGTATTTGGGATTTAAGTAGAATTGGTGCTGAACAAACTGCAGAAGATGCTGAAGATGGACCTCCGGAATTATTGGTATGTATATGGCTAAAATAAATATTAAATTGTAGTTCAATTTTATTATTAAAAGGAAACATATTCTAACTGAAATAAATAAATTAATATTAGTATATGCACGGTGGACATACAAATAAGATTTCTGATTTTAGTTGGAATCCACATATACCATGGGTTATTGCTAGCTCTGCAGAAGACAATATCATTCAAGTTTGGCAACCGGTAAATAATATTGCAATTTAATTAATTAATTGTTTATTGTTTTATTATCACATTTTACTAACATTTATTTTGTTTTGTTGTTTTTTATAGTCATCAAATATTTATTCAATTGACGAGAGAGAAATTCCACCTGAAGAATTAGAGGATTAGAATATTAATTATATATATACATTTTTAATAATTATAATATAATAATATTATTAGCAGCAATACAATATAGAAAGTAATTTGTTGCCAAATAATGATAATAATTACTAACAATTTCTTTGTAAATAATAAAGTCCATCTTTAAATGTAGTTAGAAGGTTTTATTGTTGTTGTTTTTGTTGATTAATTATTAATTATAAATATATTTTACTTTCGCTTCTTTATATATTCCTAGGACTTGATCGAAGTTTTTTCACTTCTGGTGAATTATTATCATTACCATTACTATTATTATAATAATAATTAAATGATGTTGTCAATCTGTTGCTACGTCTTTTTTTTCGCCTATTATTAATATTATTATAGGTACTTAATCTACTATTAATATTAATATTATAACTATTCTTTGCGCTATCTAAATTTTTGTCTTCTAATTCAATAGCCTATAATTCATAAAATTAACGTTAATATCATAATCATAATCATGTATATATATATATACACACATATGCAGATATATTTAGCCTACCTTTTCATAAGTAGCACTTGATTTTGAAAATAATCGATCCTCTTCGTTTATTTCAATCTTATTATTTTGATCTTGACTATTTTTATAATAACAATCAAACCCACGAATAAGATTACCACCAGAATGTGTTTCTTCTAAATATGATCCTTCAAACTTATAAATACTTTTTTCAATCGTTATCTATGTCAACAAAAGATTAATATTAATATAATTACAACTATAATTATAATTACCATCATTAATAATAATATATGATATATACTAAATTAATATCTGTCTGTTTCTTTTGTTTCAACATTTCTGAAAGTTTAGCTCGAACTTCTTTATATTTTTTTTGTCTAACAACTGTTGTTGGCTAAAATTTAAAAGTAAAATTTTAATTAAACATTCAAGCCTTTTTATTTTTTAAAAAAATGAACATGTTTAATTACCGAATTGTCACAAGCATCTTGCATATTAATATTAATATTTCTAATTATCGAATTGTCACTGACATCTGGCATATTTCTTCTGTATTAGTATTTACTAATTATACAATTATAAAAAATTTTACTTTTTGGTAAATTAATTTTTAAAGATACTTTTTTGTCACACAGCCATATATCAAAAAAAATGAATTTTTTAAGATTACGAAATGACTTTTTATCATCACAAAACAAATTTTTTTATAAATTGAATTATTTTTCATTGCAAAATTTATCTAAAAAAAAAAATTTTTCAAATAATTCATTGAAAATATCAGAGTTATCGTTACCATATTTTGATTATTCTAAATTACAAAAAAAAAATTCATCGTTTTCAATTGACGAAGATTTCATTTTATTTCCAAATCATTTAAATGAATCAGAACAATCTTTTCTTGTGGAAAAATCATCAAAGAAATTGAAAAGAGCGTTTGGTAAAGAGGTTATCTATCAAGATGCTCACTTTGATGATGTTATCCATGGTTATAGAGAATGTCAAGCCACTCATTGGTCTACTGGTACTGCTACAAATGGCAAAGATGAGGAAGAAGATAAAGTAAATGAGTTATTTAAAAAAAAGTTTTATGATTTGTTTTCAAATGAAAATATCAAATGGTTGCCAATACATATTTTAGAATTGGCCGATTATGGTGGCATAAAACCTCATTTAGACAATATAGAGGCAAGTATTATTATTATAATAATAAATGATGTTAATAATAATAAAATAGCAAGCAATAATAATAACATTTTTTAAAAAACTTAGTACTCTGGTAGAATTGTGGCAGGAATATCTTTAATTTCTTCAACTGTGATGATTTTTCGACATAAAGATGATCCAGAAATTCAATTTTCTGTTTTATTAGAACCAGGAAGTTTATACGTTCAACGGTAATATAGATAAACATGTGCGGTGCATACATAATGATACTGTACGTTAATTATTTATTAATTACTTTCTCATTTTCAACAAATAAAGTGACTCGATCAGGTATAATTTCACTCATGAAATTCCTCAAGACCCAAATGAACATAGATTCAAGGGTCAATTGATACCCAAGAAACGTAGAATCTCGTTAATGTTCAGGGTTAGTAACATGAATAAATTTTTTTACAATTATTATTATAATAATATTAATAACTATATATAAATTACTTGTAAACTATTTTATATTAAAGGATCATTATTCTCCTTCTTCCACAAACTTTAAAAATAAAAAATAAATAAATAAATAAATGCCGTAAGGTGAGATATAAAATTTAACGCGTTTCTTTGTATTTGTAACCTTTTTTTTTTTCGTCACAAATGAACAAAAAATCTACAAAAACATTCCATATGGTGTTGTCATTCAGAATTCTTTTTAGTCTGTGTAACATTCCTTGTTTGAAACTTGTTCATTCATTGTCCGTCGCAAAAAAAAATTATTTTCCAAAGAGTTTTCCAAAAAGTTTATAACGTAATCACAAATAAATGCTAGTAAACTCAATCGTTATAAGTATTATTATTGTAGGAAAGGAAAATCCTTTATTTATAATCCTTTATTAGCATTATGTATAACGTTAGTTAATTTATAAAAAATGTAACATTAAAAATGTATATAAATAATATATTTAGCAGATAAGATTTTATCCAAAAAAAAATTTAATTTATTTGTTTCGAAGAAAAGAATTCATCATGGATATAGTCGGACTTTGTTTCCCATTAATTGGCATAGCTACAAAACTTGCAAAAGATGCTTATAAAGCTTCTGAAGAAGCACGTTATACCAAGAAAATATGTCTATCGTTATCTGATAGACTGGAAGCAGGATCACGTGCTTTGGAAGATTTATATAGACATCGAGAAGAAAATATTGATGTATTTGTAAACAGTGAATTCTTTAAAAATCTTCAACGTTATGTAAATGCAGCAACGGAAATTAAAAGATTTATTGACGAGATCTCAGAATTAAGTGGAGCAATGAAATATATTAATGCAAAATCTCGTAAAGAAAAGGTTGAACAGCTTATCACAAGGTATGATAGGATTATCCTTGATTTAAATTTGGATGTAAATACCAAAAGTTTCAAGAAAATTTCAGAAGTACAAAGTTTAATAGAAAAAGAATTTGAAAAAATGTCTTCGGTAAATATAAATAATCTGTATATTGTTTTGTATAATATTTAATATTCATTCTAAATCATCATCAAACACTACATACAATATAGGCTGTAGAAACAATGGCAGCTAGCTTGACGACTCAAGAAAGAGATATTAAAATTATAATAGACACTTTATCGTCAATGAGGAGTGCTAATAATAATCCAACACCTGAAATCAAAAAAATCAGTTCTGATAGATTAACAGACCCAGATCCATCAAGTCAACCCATAAAACGTGGAAAAGTTTTTAAAAAAGTATTGAATAGGGCTCAAGAAGTAGCATGTAAACCATTTACAGAAGAAGAACACGAAGAAGAAGATTTTCGTACCTATTTAGCAATTTTAGGGAAATTATACTCATCAAGCTGTATAATAAAGTTTCACGGTATAGCATATGCTGATGGACATAGAGTAATGGTGTTTGATTGGGCTAATATGGGCAATTTAAAAGATATTTATGAAAAATTTAAGATTACTTGGGAACAAAAATTAAAAATTGTTCACGATGTTTGTTCTGGACTTACATTCTTACATGCGTGTACAATTTATCATCATGACGTTAGGTGTGAAAATATTTTGGTGAGTAATAAAATAAAATAATAAATAACAATAATAATAATAGTAGATTAATGAATTAATTAATTAATTTATTAATAAATTATTGATAATAGCTTATGGGTAATCTTGAAACAGCGAAAATTGCAAATTTTACTCTAAGTAGAGATTATGAAACTAAAAGTAGACGAATTGTATCAGTAAATGAACTTATACCCTGGATGGCTCCCGAGAAACTGAAGGATCTTGTAAAGACAAGATATACATTAAAATGTGAAATCTTTAGGTGAATAAATAACAAAGTACATCTAATTTTATTTATTTATTAATCGAGTCCTGATCGCTGACTTTGGTTTTAAATCATTTTAGTTTTGGTATGTTTGTTTGGGAATTATCATTTAATCAGGTTCCATATCTTAGAAAATTTGAGAATGATTGTGTAAAAATTTCTCAACACGTTAGGAATGGCAAACGAGAAGATTTAAAAAACTACAATCACTTTCATGATATTCAACGATGTTTCAAAAACATAGTGACAAACGGTTTGTTATAATTTAATTATTTTTACTATTAATAAATAATTATATTTATTAAATCGTTCCTTTAAAATAGCCTGGCTTCAAGAACCTACACTTCGTCCAGATATGCACACTTTTCTTACACAATTGGCCAATTTACACAAACGTTATTGTTCACCAAGAATTATACCACATGATAAAAGCCAAAATTCCAATAATACTGGTGATGATATTGTTGATCCCGATCTTGATATTGATCTAGATACATTGTCTTTAGCAGATACTGCAGTAAGGTTAACATTAGATGAAGGTATAAGACTTCACAAAGATCAAAGTGAAAGCTCAAGAAGATTTGCATGGCAATGCTTCAAATATCATGCTGATGTATTGGACGATCCTAGAGCAAAATATTGGAAAGGGTATTATTTATTGGAGGGATATGGTGGAGTCGAGAAAGATTTGGAAGAAGCATCTAAATGTTTCAAGGAAGCTGCAGACCAAGATATTGCTGATGCTCAAGTTCGTTATGCATTCACTATTGTAACTAAAGCTAAAGATGATCCTTTAATGGCTACTGAATTTATGAAATACTTGGAAAAAGCTGCATTTCATGAAAATCCGACTGCTTTATACAACTTGGGAAGCATATATTATGAAGGCAAATTGAATTTACAAGTAGATCATAAACTAGGAATAAAATTTTATAAGAAAGCAGCATTAAAAGGTCATGATAAATCAATTCAAAGATTAAGTAGTTTAAAAATAAGTGTTTATGATGATTAAAATTGTTAATATTATTCTTTGAACTTATTCTGTATTAATTTATTTTTAGTAATTTGTATTTTATTTATTTATTTATTTATTTATTTGTTGGTTTTAACGTTATATGACAATAAATTAAAAAAAAAAAAATCAAATTCAAGTGTGCGAGTTGTGTGGATTGAACACACGGCCTTCAGATCTTCAGTCTGACGCTCTCCCAACTGAGCTAAACTCGCAAATCACTTGATCTATATGGATTTTAGAAATACTTGAAATAAACATCACAAAAGAAATTTAAGGTTCATCAAAAAATCACCCCATAAAAATGAAGCTTGATAATTACCGTCAAAACAGAAAAATTATCACCGAAATCCCGATCAAAATATTAAAAACTCAGGAACTGGCATTTTCCATTAAAGAATAAAGAAAGCTATATATTTGTAATAGTTAGCCCGCAGAATGGCCCTGTTGTGGGGCAGGACCTCGAATCATTATAGTAATAATCCAATTTTGATGGAATTTATGGGGTTAAAGTAAAAAATTTTAAAATGGAAAAAGCAGGCATATCATAGCCCTGTTTGGGAAATCACATCACTCTTCAGTATCACAACAAACTTTGAGTATCACATTTCCAGAATAATTAAAAAATATCATTAAACTTTTTGCCGAAGGTCAAGAATTTTTCTTATTATTATAGAATTTCTATTTGAATAATGCATGTCTCAATTATTTGTTACCCAAACAAATTAATCATTCAATGTAACTTGAATATTCAAAATTAATTCAAATAAAATAACCTTTATTTGAACAGAAACTTTAAAGCAATAAATTACAAGTGACATCAGTGACGGAGTCATTGTCATGAATCACATTTCTAGAATAACAATAAAATTACTTTGTTGATTTTATAATTAAAATTTTTTGCTATAGATAACTAGATTTATTTACTATGATTGAAGTTTTGGAGTAGTAATTAAATTGTAATTTATCATCGTCATCATTATCTTATATTTGCCCTATTCCTATGAAAAATAAAATACGGAATTAACGTATGTCAAATGCGTCCTTAAAAATAATTTTTTTTATTAATATCCTAATACGGTTTTGAAAATTGCCTTTTTCAAATTTAGTGTGAAGTCCGGAATTGGTACGGAGTCTGTATGAATTTGTAACACATTGAAAGGTAACATACTAATATTGAAAAGATACCTTTTCGATTTCACATATAAGGCACGGAATTTGTAACAGTATTTTTTGATTCTGCGTATAAAGTACGGAATTTGTAACATAATAATAACTAATTATAATACTGAAAAGGTTTTCGATTCCGCATATAAGGTACGGAATTTGCAACTTACTGAAAGGTATCATATAAAGAATACGTTTATTTTATTCATTATAAAACATATAGTATTTTGTTAATATATGTCATCATCGTAATAACGTAATTAATTTCAGTTTTTCTGTTAATTTTTGTCATTTCTCAATTTGCAGATCTCAATTGTACAGTCAAACCTCGATAAGCCGAATCACAAAAATAGGATCGACTTCTCAAAATTCGGTTTATGAAAAACGATTTTTATTGTTCAAATAAAAAGTATAAAATAATAAATTTATTTGTGAAAGATTTGGGCGTTTGATAGCGTGGAGTAAACCAAATTTTATCTATAAGACGAATTTTAAAACCAGTTTATAATCATCAACTGTTTTCGCAAATATTCGGCTTAGAAAGTTGCATTTTTATTAACGTTAGGTTCGGTTTATCAAGTAGGGCGGGGGTTATAATTAATAAAATTTGGCTTAATGAAATAATTTTTTTATTAAACATGATTTAGTTAACTAGTTTTGGATCGTTATAAAGCGAAATCGGTTTGCAGTAGTTCGGTTTATTGAGGTTTGACTGTACTTTGAATTTTTTAAAAACATTTTTTTACTCGAAGTTTCTTTTATATATTTAATATGTAGTATGGTTTAGATAATTCGAATAGAGAGCTGTCTGAAACCAGTAAAAGCGGAAAACACTGCTATTTTAAGCAAAAAAAAAAATGATGCAATAAAAATCGATATACAAAAAAATGGTTTTTGTTTAAAAAATGATGTAAAAAAACAATATATTGTCACCAATTAAATTCGGGAGAGCGTATTTTTAATTGGTGATAACAATTATTTTTGTTTTATGTGGATCAGAATGAATAGAGATCAACGAATTGATTTTGTTATTAGCGAATAATTTTGGGTAAAGAAGATAAAAGTTTTTAAAATATTTATTATTTTATTTATTTATTTAGTTTTTCTTAGTCGAAACTAATTAACTTATTACAAAGTTATTTTTACAGTAGGTCAAATTCGAGTTCTTTATATACATGTTAATTGATTATAAGCCCATATGGGTTCGCACGCTCGTTTGGGTTCATGAGCCCATATGGGCACATCGTCACTAATTTCTACTAAATACAGTGAACCCTTGTTTCAACGAAATATAATTAAATTTTTGATACAACTAATTTTAAAAACGTTGTTACACATTATGAAAACATATAAAAATTCGTTGAAACGCGATTAGTAACCTTGTTTCAACGAATGTTGAATAAAATTTTCTTATATGTCCAGTCACTTCGTTGAAACAAGGGCAGACTGTAAAGTTAAATAAATCAAATAAATATTAACGTGTTACGGATTAATTAATAAGAATAAGAATAAAATGATTATACGAAACGTAATACAGGTATAAACAATAATAATGATAAATATGAAATTAAAAATAAATAATAAATAAAAATAGAATTAGAATTAATTTGACCCGGAATTACAAGATTCGTCCAAAATATCTTCGTCAGAATCTAATTCCGGTAACACATGCTTTGTTTCTACATATTTAAACAACGGATCGATATGGATCTTGATTTATTGAAAGAGAAACAAAAAAATAAATCTAAAAAATTGATAATAAATTTGAAGAAATTGATAACAAAATTGATGAGCTTTATAATAAAATTGAAGAATTTAATAATAAAATAGACGAAAAATTTCTTTGCTCAATGAAGAGATTCAACAAAGATTCCAAGAAGAAGATACCCTAACTAATTATTCAAGAAATTTTTCAAGTAATAATAGTTCAAGCAGTTCTCAAGGTAAGATTATTTCAATGCATAAATATCTGTTATCATTGGTGAGATGCCCATAGTAAATCAAATATTTTTGTATCATTTCAGCTTCAAGACAAACTTCAGATGAACTTGTGCAAAAATTCAAGAAGCATTTCAACGAGACTATGCGAGAAAAGAATCATATTAAATCAGAAATGATTAATGAAATTATAGCCGATCTAAAAAATGAAGCGGGATAAAACTTCTTGGATCCAAGGCTATTGAAAATTATTATAACCAAATGACCAAAGGTTATAGGAGCAATCAATTCTTGGACCGTACTCAAAAGTAAAGAAAAAAATTAATCTGTATTTAACAATAATAACAATGATAATTATAATGGTGATTACGATGAAGAAATAGATAACAATAGTAATAAATAATTTTCACCTGGTAGAGCCAAAGTAAAGTGGCATATATTAAATGGTCTAGGGGCCGCACGTTCTCTCCCTTGCAAGTTCGCGTTTATTCCTTTTTTCTCTATTATTCTTACATATCAAATAAAATATAAAAATTAGCCAATAATCTAAATAATCTAATCTACTATTTCTTGCTTGATTAAATATAATTGTCAATATCTATACCGATATCTGTCTTTTTGAGAAGACATCTGACTTACCTCCAATGTATTCTCTGACCATAGCTTCATTCCAAAATTTAGAGGGAAGTCCGTGAATATATGAGTCAAAGTCTCTATGCTCTGCATATTCTACAAAACTTTTCTTCGATGCAGGTATAAATTAGTTGGGTACCTTTCCATATTTTCTGATATGTATATTGGATCAAAGATTCAACGTTGTTGAGATGTAAAGAGAAATTCAAATCAGATAATTAATATGTTGTACGACATGGAAGGTCATGGAAAGATTAATTATAATTACCTCATCAGGAATTTTAAATAAGTAAATCAATGGTGATCCATCTCCCTCATTTAATAATTGTCTTAGCAAATTTTTTTTTTTAATTCGGGAATCATGGAGTATTCTCTTGACCAATACTTCAAGGAAACTGCACCAAAGGACTATCAGTTTCTTGGTTATTACCAATATCGTAAAAGCCAAAAAGATTTTACAAATAATTTTTGTTTAGAGGCACGAAGACTCAATAAATGCTTGGAATATCTGGTGGAATGTGGATCGACTCTAGAGAAACAAACGGCTCAACGTTTGCACAATGTTTTTAAGGCAAGTATCTTTTCATTTTAATCATCACTTGCAGGCAGACCACTGGCAGACAGTATGGAGGGCCCTGTTAAGTCCCGAGAAGGGAAACATCTTCCACGACTACGGTGGGCGCCTGCGTCCCGCTCACTTTATGGCGTTCATTAGATCCCGTTGTGGTCTACAAGCTTGGCTGTATCATAAGCCTCTTTTGTAGAGGTGGGGTCCTCCAGTAGTCCCGAGAAGGGGTAACGCTCCCACAACTATGGCGGGTGCCTGCGTCCCACCTGACCTTACGGCGTTCATTAGATCCCGTTGTGGTCTGTTTTGCCAGTGGGTTTTTAATTGACAAAGATGGTAACAAAATTGTATATTATTTTTGTAGGATCATCGAAGCAAGAATATAGATATCAATAAATTCTGGAACGAAATCAAATGTGAATCTTTAGACATAGAATATGGCAAAGCAAAAAAGTGACTTCAATTGGACCAGGTCAATAATTTTTTACCTACCCTGATATTATATGTTGCATGGCTAATGATTGTTCTGAATTATAGGTGTGATAGCCCATATTATGACACAGGGACTGAAGAAGGTGTTGGAACAATTATGAGGAACGTTAATATGAAGCTGGTATGATTTACATTGTCAACGTCATTGGGTAAAAAGTGACCTAACTAATTCAACATCAAATTTATTTAGGACGAGTCAGCTACAGATAGCAAATTTTTCTTACTCTTTAAGAAAGAGAACAAGGATTGATTATAATGAAGATGATTATAATGAAGATAGGATATCAAAGAGGCAAGAGCAAGACAGGCACACTACTCCTTTACCAAGAAGTCCAATATTAAGACATTCATCTAATGAAGATAATCCATGGAATATGAGGAGGATGAGGATATCATAATTGACGATGTTCCATGTAAATTCTCTTTCAAAAATGGAGATACAGCAAATGATTTATATGTGGAGAGATTAATGTGTCTTTACTTTTTCGGAATTATCAAAATCAATCATTGAATCTTGCAAAGACAAATGGTTTATTCGTAGAATCCAACATACAAGAGATATTATCATTATCATCAATTTTATTACTCACCTCAGATTCATATTCAAATACAATGATCAGCCATTTTGGACTACCCCTGCTTAATAAAATTCATAAAAAATTCACACCAGAACAACAGATATTATTAGATTCGAATTCTGAAGTAATATTCAGAAAAGTAGTCAAGATGGCAATGAATGTATCATGTTTAAGACTAGTGCTGTAAATTATGATGATGGTAATAATTGTATTTATGGCATATAAAAAGTGGTTGCAATTACCTTTGCAACCACTTTTGCAACCATACTTTTTCCTTTTTTGGATTACAGCACTAGTCTTAAGATCACATGATAATGCCATCAATTGGCTATGTGGAAAACTCTCAAACGAGCAGTCTTTAAGAAGGGATTTGGGTTTTGTTGTCTTGGACTGCTTGAAAAATTACTTATTTCGAAGATAAGAAATGGACACAGTGAGATAACACATTATACCAATTTCCTTGACTGCATTATGAAAGGACTTTTTGATGACCCTGACAAACACATAGTACAATGGCCAAATACAGCTTTAAATAAGAAGATTTGAAGGTCGGATTAAGCAACCAGACTTTGCTGTTTCCATTATCAGTCAATTACAGACCAGTGCCACCATATTTGAGGTGAGGTTAGTCCTCCATCAAACAAAGGAGATGTTTAGAAAAACTGTAACAATCTTATCTGCTTGAGTATATTCATGAAAGACAGCCCTGATTCATCAATTGACAAAGGTGTGGATATAAAGGTAAGGAAAGTTATTATGAATGTTTCTTTTTCTCTTACATAATTCCTTTAATCACTTTTTAAACATTTGCTTTTATAGATTATAAAATTGACTATTACACCATGGACCTTGTTCAAGGAATATACACCATGGTTCACATTGGACAAGTGTTAATTCCAGCTAAAGACTAGTGCCATAAATTATGGCGATGGTAGTAATTAGATTTACAGCATATAAAAAGTGGTTGCAATTACCTTTGCAACCATTTTTGCAACCATACTTTTTCCTTTTTTGGATTATGGTACTAGTCTTTAATTCCAGCATCATTAAAGGATATGTTATCTTTTGAGATGATATAGAATTATCTTTAAAAGTACAAGATGTTTTTCATAAATCTTTTGAAGTTTTCTATACTAAGCTTTGTAATCCAGGTTAAAGACTAGTGCTGTAAATTATGATTATGGTAATAATTGTATTTATGGCATATAAAAAGTGGTCGCAATTACCTTTGTGACTACTTTTGCAACCATACTTTTTCCTTTTTTGGATTATGGCACTAGTCTTTAATCCAGGTGATCCAGAATCATTGACAACAAAAGCAATATTCAAACAAGACACCCTTGGCACTCCCAAGTTTAAAAAACTGGTGAGCAAAACACACAATGTTAATAGAAGCTGTTCATTTTGGTTCAGATGTTTTTAGTATATGTATACTTCTGATTAATAGATTTTTTTGTAACTGTTCATTATACAATATTTGTATTATCTAGCCATTGAAATTGTAAATATTGTGTAGGATTTGTAGTAAATCTATCTTGTGTTTTCCATCTGTTATTCTTAGATTTACAAGACATGTCTTATGTACTATATCAAGTATTAAAACATTCAATTTTAACATAGATAAGGAAGATGAACATCAATCTGATGCTATTGGGTTTTCAGTTTATGTTGTCAACTATGTAGAAAAAATCATACAAGTTTTGACAGTAAGTAATGGTTAGATAATTGAGGCAATAAACATTATTATCTGCATTGTGATAAAATCAAAGACCCAGGGATTCCATTTGATATTTGGTATCATATAATTGATGAATTATAAAACTAGCGCCCAAAAAAGGCATAACAATATTTCATTAAATATATATGAGTCTTTGACTCTATGCTACATATATAAAAAACACACATATATATATTACTCTCTATTGATACTGCATCTTCTTGGAAATATCCTGGTTCACCACTAATGAATACCAATTTTAATTCTATTCCTCCTACTGTCTGATTTTCTGTTGTCCCAGATTTTGAATGACATTATCAGCTAATAAATATGAATCATCTTCCCTTCTTTGAATTGACCTATGATCACACAGAGTGGTGGAAATGAGAATGAGATATATAAATGCAAAACAAAATCGCTTCCTTCTGAAACAATTAGAGAAAACATGCAACATACAGTCTAATAGATTCTCCTTGTATTTAGTGTTCCATCATCTATTTTATTATCAACCTCATCATGAATTGTGAGGTAAATTTGACCTAGTCCTCTCACTATGTAAAAAAGGATTATTGTTTAATCATGTTTTTATCAGAGTATGTCTGTGCATTACATGCATTAATAATAATAAAGTCAGGGGCAACTCTACAAGTCATAGAAGAATTTATTTACCAAATGAAACTTCAAGATATCCATTCATTGTAGAATTTTTTCATTAAAAAATGTAAGGAAAAAAGCTCACCTCATAAATCCAGTTTATTTATAGTTTCATTTGTTACCTGAGAACCTGTTAGAAGAAAAACATTAGTAATTACATTACCTGATCATTTCTCAGATCATCTCTTCACAAGGCAGGTCTATTAAGTCATAGATGCAAAGCACTAAATATATGAGCCATAGACTATATTTTGCCTTTTATGGGGAAATTAAACCTTCCAGTCTGACAATTGCTTTTGTAGAATAAAAAATTTTGGCAATCTCAGATCTCAAGTTCTGTAACATATGAATTTTGATATTATTACTGATAAAGAACAATAATCTCTCCTCATTCATTGAATTGTTGTTCATATCTGAATTTAAAAGATCTGATAAAAAATTTAGAAACAATGTTTTCATATCATTAACAAGATAATATCCAATAAATGATTTAAATGTTCCTTTATGCATTTCCTGATGCCTTGTCTCCAATATTGATTGCTTTTAGTTTCACATGTTTCGGAGTATGTCAAACAAGCATGTTAAAGTACTAGTAGATGGTCTTTTTATTATATCCACTAAAATTTAAAAAAAAATAATAATTAAAAAATGAATAAATAAATGAATACAATGAAATTAAACACCTTGCATACAAATTTTCCTATTTTTTGGTAGAAGCATGCATTGAACAAATCACAGATTATTGACTAAAGATGTTAGCCAAAATTGCCTCTCTTAATAAATGATCATCACCAAATTCGAAATGCCAAAATAGTTTTTCATAGTCACTGAAATTAATTTTATTAATTGCCACTGAACACTTTAGCTCAATAGCCAAAATTCTGGGTAGTTTTTTTATGTCTATTGTTATGAAAAATATTGTAAATATGAAATTACCTGTTGAAATTGATTTTTTCAAAAACCATTTTGACTAACATCTTTATTATTGAGAGATTATGAAAAAGCAAGTTTAGCATTAGTACTATTTATTTCAATAACAAATTGTTTTTTTTTTTTAAAAAAATGTGACTTGTTATATGACGATAACATCATGTAAATTCATTTGTAACATATATGAGTTGATCTGAGGATCAACACACTGATAGGGTAAAAACCCAGACTGAAATAGACTGGTCTAAATTCTTGCTCCTAGTAAAAAAATGAATGAAGGTATTTTTTTCTTACACAGAAAATAACTATTTTAAAAATATGTAGTATTTTTACATCATAATTTAATATTTTGCTTTATAATAAAATAATACT